TCACAGGCAGCTCTCCAAGCTATGACCAGCTACTCCTGGCACGTCCACCACCGGACGAGCGCAGTAGCACACCGAGATGAAACCCGCCTGGCGACGTGGTACCGTAGCGACCATGCATCTGTATGTAGAATGTGTACATGTACATTCATATGTATATATATATATATATCACATATTACCATGTATATATATATACACAGGTATATATACAGAATGTGCGACATATGTATATATACATATATGTATATATATATATGTATATACATATATACATATACATACATATATATATACACAATGTGTACAAGTTTGTGTATATATATACTGTATATACATATATTGTGTGTACCTCGTTGGCACTGTAGATACATATTGTTTGGTATATGTGTGTACATGTAGACTCTCTATGCTGGTACTGACTAAAAAAAGGTGTGAACTATGTCTGGGGCGGCTTTTTATGACCTTCACACATCATGAATCATCACACATCATCACTGTGTCTTAAAATTGGAGACCCTCCGAAAATCATCACCGTGGCTTGCTGGAAAAAATCCACCATTTGGTTCCATGATTTTCCCAGCGAACGAAACCTCCATGGCTAGGCCACAAATGGATTTCCGCGCTTGCCAAGTTTGTTTCATGGTCAAATGGAAGGCTCGGTGACAAAGGGCAAAAAAAATTTGGTTGATCAAAACCATCCAATGCTGGGAGGCGATGTAGACTTTTTTGGCTTCAACTGACATATCTGGTTCTATCCGGCCTGGTAAACATACAAAAAACTACGGAAAATCACCATGTTCAATGGGTAAATCAACTATAAATGGCCATTTTCAATAGCTATGTTAGTTTACCAGAGGGTATTTGGTTCTATACTATACTGTTTTTTTGGTTACTCACGAGTTTTAAATATATATATATATATATCAGGTGCTGAATTTTTCCAGCTGGTATGCGGTTCACAACCATAACAGCAAGCCAGCTGCGGCAGATCCCCAGCTTGTCTTCTCCACTCAGTTGGACGGCCCTAGTGCCATGGTCAAGTTTCATGGTGACTATAGCCAATCCATCCCGCACCAGGAATCCACACATAAAGGTTATACGTTTATACATATACATATCATATACATATACACATACATATATATATATATACATATATACATATATATATATACATATATATACATATCCCTACAAATGAATTGATAATCATCCCCTCTGCAGGAAATCCCCCTGTTCTGAGACCTTGATCACTGTGATGGCAGTGGTAATTTGGCCACCATTGAACATCAGCCTGCAGCTGATTGGTCATGGCCATGGCCAAAAAAAAAAAACAAAAACGGACATCCGGAAAAACCATGGAAGAAATCACCCCGATTTAAGGAAAAATGGCTGGAACTGAATCGTCCAAGATGGGGATTTTTTTGCTTGTCATCGTCAGTGCAGCAAATAAGTCGGACTCAAGTCACGTGTTGGGACTGGTGACTGGGGCCCCAATAAGTCATCAACCAGGGTTTCTTGCTTTGCGGTTGAAATTCGGAAAGTTGTGGTGCAAAAAAAAATGAGTTGCCGGACCGTTGTCGACCGTTGAGGACTCTTTTTGCCCAGTTTATAGGGCGCCTTTTTTGGGCAGTTTATTCATTCAGTGATCTAAAAAGGCCATGGAAAATCGGGCAATGTATTATTTCAGCTGACATAAATGTGAATAAATGGATTGATCTGACATCCATTGGGCCATTTACCCTCTGGTAATTTAACATAACTATGGAAAATTGCGATGTTCAGTGAGTTTTCCCATTGAAAATGATGATTTTCCATAGTTTTGTATGTTTACAAGGCCGGGTATGTGACTTTTTGATCTTAATTTCCCCCGTTTTTTCCCATTCATTGCAGTAACATCCTGATCTGCGCTGGGGCACTTGTTCACATCTTTGGTCAAATCAGTGGTGCCAGAGTAGGCCAGAGCCGCCTTAGGCCGCGCGGCTATTCGGTTGGAAAACTCCTGGGAGCTGCTTGGCTCCCCATTGCTGGGACATGTTGGGAATATTTAATGGTTATTTAATGGTGGTTTTAATGGTGATTTAATGGTGATTTAATGGTGGTTTAATGGTGGTTTAATGGTGGTTTAATGGTGGTTTAATGGTGGTTTAATGGTGGTTTAATGGTGGTTTAATGGTGGTTTAATGGTGGTTTAATGGTGATTTAATGGTGGTTTTAATGGTGATTTAATGGTGATTTAATGGTGGTTTAATGGTGGTTTAATGGTGGTTTAATGGTGGTTTAATGGTGGTTTAATGGTGGTTTAATGGTGGTTTAATGGGATTATATATGATTATATATGATTATATATGATTATATATGATTATATATGATTATATATGATTATATATGATTATATATGATTATATATATGATTATATATGATTATATATATGATTATATATGATTATATATGATTATATATGATTATATATGATTATATATGATTATGTATTGATTATATATACTGGTTGGTGGTTTCAACCTACCTACTCTGAAAAATGATGCACTTCGTCAGTTGGGAAAGAATGAAATTCCCAACTGAATGGAAAGTCATAAAATTCATGTTCCAAACCAATGGAAAGTCATAAAATTCATGTTCCAAACCACCAACCAGATTAGGTTTTGATCCATCCGAATCCCCATATTTCAATCACAACTTGTCTTATTTTCCAAGCCAGTAAGTACTTCTGTAGCAGGATTTCTATCATGGATCAGTCAGGTAGTTCTTGGATATCCCCAGCTTTGATGGTTGCTTCAACCCATAATGATAAAATCGCCATTAAAACCACTCATCCACAAGGATCACCAAGGATTCAACGGGTGAAATCCCCCGGTAGCCTCTGATAAACTAGCAGTTTGCTACGGAATCACCATGTTTCATAGGTAAATCAGCGAACTAAATGGACCACATAGCTACTGTGGATGGTTGCGAAATCCTGCACCAGTTGGTAGATGGTTTATCTTACAGTATTATGAATCCCATTGTTTACAGTGCATCATGCTTGCCCAATAGTTTCCAACTGGTGCAGGATTTCTTCCATCCACAGTATGTTAGTTTGCAGGAAGGTGTATATATATATATACATCATTATACCGCCAACATATCCTCATTGAATCCCAATGATACCACATTTTTCCTGGTAAAATCAGTATTGTTCATGGTTAGATCCCAAATTTATCACCATGTTTGCTGCTTCAATCAACGTTTTTCATGGTGGAAATCCTCATGTTTCATGGAAAAAAACATGGAAAAAGGCGTTTGGCTCGCTCGATCCAAACCGGACGTCCCGGCGTTTTGCATGGTGAGCGTGTTGGCGTCCACCAAAGTCGAGTCGTACCTGGCGACTGAACTATCCATGATAGGGGGCCAGTGGGCCAGTGTTCCTGATGTCTGCTTAAAGCATGTGGCTTACTTCCAAAACGGTAACCTAAAAACTACGATTGTCTGAGAAATTGAAGATCAAGCATCAAAAATTATAGGGTTTTTGTGGGTTTTTCCATCATGTTCCAATCAGAAATGCATAGAAATGCGTGTTTTCCCATGATTTCCCATGATTTTCCTTGGCATTTTCCAACATGTTCGCATGATTTCTCATGATTTTCGGACCAACGTGCCCCGGAAACGCTCCAACTTCTCGGGCACGAGGCAGCCACGCAGCCGGCATCCGTCAAGGTCAGGGTGGGATCTGATACCAACTTCAAAGCTCCACCCTCCTGGAAGCTTCGTTACAAAAGGTGGAGATATGTCATGGGAATTTTTTTTGGGATGAGAAAATCCTGGGATTAATGGGATTAATGGTAATTAAATGGGATTAATGGGATTAGTTTATCGAATTTCATGGGATTAATGGTAATTAAATGGGAACTTCATGGGAAATTCATGGGATTTTAATGGGAGTTGAATGGGAATTTCATGGAAGTTTCATGGAGACTTCATGGACGATCTGGAGGAGATCACAGTTTTTGGCGTGGGAAAACCCACACATTTCGATTCATCACACATATTTGATATGTCTTCTTTTTAGATACAGAGTATATATATATATATGAATATATTATGTATATGACATATACACAAACATGTTGAGACAATAAGCTATGGATTTAATCAAAATTCAAACTTCAAAAATTGTTAATTAATCATGAAAAATTAGGATTTGGCCATTGAGCAAAGGAAAATGCGGAGATTCAACAAATAAAATCCAGCGGTCTATTGGTTGATCGATGGGGATGTTTAACCAACCATAAATCAGGATAGAATAGGTCAAGAGTGGAATATACTGGAATACACCGCATTGAAGGTTGGGATATGATGCCTAAAATGGGGGATTGGGGTTATCACATCAGTCATTGTCTAATATGCGGAATTAAATGGATTTCATCAAGAGACTTGGGGATAAGAATGGTTGGTGTGATTTAACAAAAGAAAATGGAGGACGTAGCGGCTACGTACAAGAATGGTGAGATCTTCTCCCAAAACCGGAGGTTTTTCACCATCCAAAAGCTGGAGTTGAACATGAAAAATGGTGATTTTTTTCGACACGGGACATGGGTCGGTCCAAGAATGGGGACTCGAATCGAAGCATAGTATATGATCCCTAGTTGGGGTCCAGATTTAATAACCCAAAAACGGGCCCACCAAAAGACTCAGGCTGTATCCCTAAATGATTGTGGCTTCATGGGGGATATGAGAACTTGATTCACTTGATACGTTGGATGATGGAGGGGGTGCTTCAATCATGAAATTCGCTGAAAAAAACAGAAATCATTCAGGTGATGGTTGCAAGAACCGCCATTTTCCATAGCTATGTTGAATTACCCAAGATAAAAAAAGGGGGAATGGATTCAAAAAAATATCCGCCGCGCCTGCAGACCCATCACTCCATAGTCCACCTTGGAGCTTCGATCTCAGATCCCATATGGATTTTTTAGGTGAGATCTGTGGATGTCTATGGATATACATGGAAAGCTTGTGTCAAAAAATGTCAAAAATTGGATATCTCCATATCCATAGATAGTTTATTAAATCATGACTGGGGGGAATATCTATGGATATTAAAGGGGTGATTATGGCAATATATGCTTCTATAATGGGAAATTCTGCAATGTCTGGGGATACATTTTTGGGGGATGCCCAGAAATACGAGGTCAAAGCCATCTCTATGACATGGCAGTGTGACCTTCCCATGATTAAAAGGTGACCCTAGGAGCCTTAGCCTTCACCTCCTTGAGGACCCAGACCCAAGGACGGTAGAAGCCGATGGTGCCCGGCATGTTCATGTACTCCAGGATGAACTCCTCTTGCCTCAGGAATTGCCCTTCGATCCGGAGAAGCTCCAAAATGTGAGAAAATCATTGGATTGGTTTTAGGGAAAAACTATGGGAAACTATGGGTTTTCCCATGAACTATTCGGGTGCTTCCTGCAAATTTTACCAATCCAATGACAATTCCATACAATTCCAAAGATCAGACCAAAATATGACTCAAAACCCTGGTACATCTGGTACCCTTTTATTCACACCAAAATCTTTGCTTGTCTACGGAGTTTTTTATTCCGCTGCTATGTGGTATTTCCATAGCTGTGATCCATCCAAACAACAATCCGTTGTCAGCCAAAGAACTGACGAATCGGGATCAACGGCGGGGTCATGAATGTGTAGCCTTGACATTACCACATAATTCAGAATGATGTAGAGCAACCCAAAAAAGGCTCAATAGTAGTTTTTCCAGAATGTGTCTTTTGGCGTTTTTTTAACTATAATTTCCAGGTGTTCAACGTTTCTGTCTTCGTGGGGTTTCTAGATACTAATCAAGATCAACAATCCAACAAATCCCAAAAACGATCTATCTTTGTTTTCCCTGTTGAAAATGGCCATCAATGACAAGATGGGGCCCCCAAACCTTATCTTTGGATATCTTGGTTTATAAGCCCCATTAATACTAGTTCTACCATAAACCATAGACTTCACCTAGCAAGTAAGCCAACTTAGCTATCGTTTGGGGGGCCCAACTTGTATATACTTGTATAGGGTAATATCCCATCTTCAAACACACCCACTGCTTAGCTTGGAGGTGTTTTTTTTCCAGGTAGTAACTGTTAGTAAGCCTGGTTAGTGAGTCTCCTAAAATGGTTATCCCATTTACCACTGATTACTGGCTTACAATTCCATTGGTCCACTAACTAACCATGTGTGAAAACGAACCACTGGGCTTCTGCCGAGGTACAAGACAGAGGTGTTGGACCCCGCGCTCACCAGCTGAAAGGGTGCGAAGCGGAGCTGCCCCGCCTGAAATCGGATGTCGACTGCCGGAAAAATCAAAGACATCAATATGGGACGTGCACCTCGAAAATTTGGGATTTACCCTCTGGTAATTTAACAGTTTGCTATTGAAAATGGCCATTTATAGTGAGTTTTCCCATTAAAAATTGTGATTTTCCATAGTTTTTTGTATGTTTACCAGAGGGTAACCAAGAAAAATTGATCAAGTTGGGGAGTTCACCAACTTGAAAAACACAGGGGGGTGCAGTTCCGCTTAATGAGTATGTATAGGTGTTGTATCGCACCCGTTAGGACGATGTTACCATGGTTATACACTGAAAAATAACCCCAACTGCCAACTGCACTTCCAATACGTATAAGTTTGTTTATAGACCATTAACTATGGATATATCTTCAAAACATGTCCGTAAATCCTTGTTGTACTTGTCAAATAAACGAACTGAATACATCCTAACGATCCTTCTGCAGTGGTCAAGGTCCAACCACCATCTTGGCCCTGCCTTGAACCAGTTGGAGGCAACGGTGCAGGCGCCATCACAATAACAGACCTGGGAGGACACCCAGAGGAACCATCCCAACCTCAACAGGCTTGATTTTGGAGATTTACCCTCTGGTATTTTCTTACAAATTAGAGGTAATATCCCATCTTGTATGGGATGTTTGGAAACCAACTGGGTCTAGTACCCTCTGGTAATTTCTTACATAGCTATAGAAGCCATGGCCCATAGAAATACTTGGTTTACCTATGAAATTTTGTTGTTTTCCATAGTTATGTTAGTTTACCAGAGGGTATCCACTATCCACATGTTTTGCGCATACTTTCTTGTCCTTCATGTTTCTCTAATAGTGTAAGCATCAACTAACGATAACTTCTGGACGAACCAAGCGTCTTGTTTCAAGATGTGGTAAACCAGAAACCATAGCAATGATTCGTCGATCAAGGATTCTGAAATGAATCATGCCTTGGGTGAACTTTTGCTTCTAGCATGGGACCCCAAGTGATGGCACACCACTCCGTCACCACTCCCACAAATAAATAGAAATAGACCCAATGCCGCCCAATGCCATATAGAAACAGAAATAGAAATGCCATATGGAACCCCATTTTCTCTGTGCAATTTATGCCATAAACCATCCCATTCACCGACTGGGGTGCTCCCAAAATAGGGGGTATACCCCAATCAGAAACCTCAATTGGGGATGGGATAATAAACCGCGATAATAAACCCCAATATACCCCAATATATTATTGGGTTTTCCACATAAATTTTAGGGTAATGTGGGGAAACAATGAGCGCACCCACACCGGAGCTTCACGGCTTCCGAAGAATGTCACTGCAGTCACTGGTTACCCTCTGATGATTCAAAGTGGCAATGGAAAATCCTTCCTGTTTGTGGAAAAATACCGGAGAATTATCTATAAATGGATGATGTTCTATTGCGATGTAACATTACTGGAACAGTGCCACCAACTGTGGTACAGGGCCAGACAGTCTGGACCTCCGACTACCCGTCCTTTGATACCTGTGCCCACATTCTCTGCAGGCTTACCCTCCATGTCATCATGTCACCCAAAAAATGATAGGAGTCACCAAGGGCTACCCGGGATCCTTGGGGACTATTGACTTCTCCACATGGCATCGTCGTCCACCGTGTTTTCACTTGAAGCCATCGCTGTTGGAGAAATCCACAACGCTTGAAGCTACGGGATATGGTGACCGTTTTGGCTCAGGCTGTTTGGAGCAAGATGGTAAATGGTGGGTGTTATACCCCCAATAAGAAGGTTTATATATTATGTATTACCCTCTGGTACACTAACGTAGCTATGGCAGCTATGGCCATCGATCAGTGGTTTACCGTTCAAAAAATGGCAAGGTTCCAATGTTCCATAATGTTCCATAGCTATGTTGCTTTACCAAAGGGTAACCACCAACAATCAATAATAAGGCCTTAGAAAAACCATCTACGCTTGGTGGTGGGCCCCCTTCCTGGTGTCTTAGTTGAATACCAGTTCCATATATCCTCATATGTCCACCCATGTCCACATCCCACTACTATGACATCCCATCATATATCATTACATATATATATATGTACATCCCATGATATCCCATTGTGTCCCACATAGTTAAAGTATGTTTTCTAGTGAAATCTTCAGATTCCAATTGCGTTTCCCGTTCCCGTGGAAAACTCGTCCCAAAATGAATCGCCGCTGCGTGGCATCAAAGGTTTCTCCCGAGTAGCTGCTGCGCAGCTCATGGTCCGTCGGACCGGTCCTGTGGATGAGTTCCATGCGGTGGGTTTACCATGGAGGATGGGGGGATTTTGGGGTCACTGGATGCTACCGGCTACCCCAAAAAAGAACCAATTTGGTGCTCTTCCAAGGTCAAGAAAATGTGTAAACAAAGCTAATAGCAGCTATGGCTATTGGGGGTGGGCTGCTTTTTGTGGAGTCCTGTAACTTGGGATATGGGGCCCCACACAACTATGGTTATCCAAGACACCAACTGGAACTGCACCCCCAAAGCAAGCAGGGGATGGTAAAAAACCAAGAAAAATGTGGATTTCCCAACAATGAAACACAAAAAAATGGGAACTGAAATGAACTGAATATTAACAACATGTGTAACAGAACTGTGGAATTGTCCTCCATCAGAGCATGATCTAAGCCCAAAATTGTGATGGTTTGTTGCTAGAAATGACCATTTTATCTGTACAGTAGCTGGTTAATAGATGGTGATTCCCCAAAAATATGGTAATACTATACATATATACGTATATGTATATGTGAAATAATAGGTTTTGACCCATACCCAAATAGACGGGCGGATCATGACCATTGGCTGCCTAGAAACCGGCAAAAAACTAGATCAGTTTCTAGGCTTACCTTTGTCCAAGGCTGACACTAGCTGCCAACAAGGATCGTTACACCCGATTTCCGGGGGGGATGTTTGCCTATCTTCTCGGGTGTTTTTTTTCTGGATATCATGCCGAATACCACCATGATTTTGTTACCCCTTGGGCACCCTGATGTGTTGGTCGAGTTTGGGCCTGGATTCAGATTTGAAAGAATCGCCGGTGCGAAATGTTGAAGTTGCCCATTTGACCCACGTTGATATGTAGAAATCAACATCCCACACTCCCGAACATAGCCAAAGAGAGGAGGAAAATCGAAAAACGTCTTCTAGACCTCATGTTTATCGATTTTTCCGGTTCCATGTGACTCTCTATGGTCATCAAATATGGTTTGCTGGATCCGAAAATCCTCCAGAGAGTTCGATGATTTTCCCACTCTATGGCACTCTGGTAGGATCGAGGGGTAGATTGAAAGGGACCCATCCCCTCCCCAAACCATTCGTTCATCGGATTTTTTCGGCGCTGCGAGGGTACCTTGACCGACCTGAGCCTGAAAGATCCGGTGACATGGATCAAAAATCCTGGACAAAATGGAGATTCCTTGCGTGGTTTCAGAGAAAGATTGGATTGTTAATGGCAAATTATTCATGGGTGATATAACCACAATGGGAAGTTCATGGGGATAGAGTGGGAGATAATGGGATTATATATGATTATATTGCCTAAGTTGGTGGCTTCAAATGAAGATTGAAAGCATGTTCATCATCACATTCGTTTCTTGTCAACCCTGAACAACATTATTTGTTTTGTGTGTGTTTTACCATCAAATATGTTTTTGCTCAATGTCCTCCTTCATCCAATTCTGAGATCAAAGGTTTCACCAAATGGTTTTGTCTGAAAAACTTGGGAAAAACAAAAAACTTCTTCCCATAGGGGTTAAATCGGTTAAATCGACAATTGATAGCCCTGCAATCTTGCACCCAATGGTTACCTGAAGATGCCCAATGGTATCAGGATAGAATAAAGTTTCCCCAGGTTTACCAGGATCGGGCACCAGTGAAGGGCGTTGGCCCCGAATATTCTGAGAAAATTCGAGTGAATGGTATGCGATGTGCAAATACGTAAACGAATATAGTGATAAATATATATGTGTATATATATATGTATACATAGATTCACAAATGGGTAGGACCCCACTTCTACATGGCATTTCGGGAAACACATGGAAACACTGGATCCTACTTAGTGGTCTGCGGCAAATCAGCTGCCAACATATCCAATATGGGGGATATCATTTTACGGTACGGGGTCATGAAACCTTCGTAACACCAAAAGATTTTAAGTTGTTCCCATTTGCATAGATCTGGGATTTTTTTTGAATTTGATCATCTGTCAGAATCTGTCCGAAATGATATTTTTTCAGCCATTTCGTTGATCATTTCTCCAATCTAATTCCCATGCGTGGTGAGGTCATGGCTACGATCGAATTCACGATCTCGCGGGGCTCAGGTGTCTGGTTCAGTCGTGGACCCACTGATTGGGACCCATCAGATGCTGGACTCACCAACCTGGGAAAAGTTGAGATCTTCAACAACCAGAACAGCCATCAACAGCCATCAACCGTCTCATACAGGAATGGGCTGCATTCTGAGAAACGAGAGACCCAGCAATCTGATTTTTCAGGTAGATAAGATATAGCAGTTCAGTGTTTCTCGCTGAGCGGCCCACGGGCCACATCTTGGAGCGAGCTGAACTGCAAGCTGTCCACTGAAGCGATTTCGCTCGGCACTTCATTTGGAGCCAAACAGAGTTGGTTCTTTCCGAAATGGGTCATGTTGGTGGCAATGTTTCGGGAAAATGGTCATCAACCATCAATTTTCTGGGTAGCCTATTTTCAGATAAACCACCTAGTTGAGCGCAAGCAGTTGAACTGACGTTAAAAGCCACTTCAGCCGTGAGCTATCTGGCCTGTTCTGTGCAGGCCAGTGATCAGGGTATGGATCATTCTGAGTGAACTGCGAAGAACTGTTTCTGTATTTTCAGGTTTCAGCTGGGGTAATTCCTATTACACCCAAATAGACTGATAAACCTAAAACAAGGGAATAAAACCGTTAAGCACAGCGACTCAAGCACTGTTTTCTCCTGAGCCGCACAGCTGTAAGATGTATCTATAATACAGTGTGTTTTATGTGAGGTGATTTTACACCCCCCTCAGGTGAGCCGGTTACGGCGAGGATGCCGCATTTACCAGGGCGAGGTCTTTAAGACCTGCCTCACCGAACCTGCTCTTTGCAAACCCAAGGGAAAACACACTCGGCGGCTATGATACAAAAACCGATCGTCAATGCAAGTAGTGTCACAACTTATCCCTCTTCCCACTCAACTCGGCCATGCCTGATGACTTTCTCATACCAGCGTCCATGCCACTTCTGCCACTCTCCAGTGTAACGGCGATCATCGTGGGACTGACTTTGCTGAGGGCGGTTGATCCACTGACTTGCAGACGTTGATGATGAAGCTACCTCTACGGTGGATGGTCGGGCAACCGGTTTGGCGGTGCCTTTCTTGGAGGGACCTTGGCCGTACGCACCAGTCTGCTCAGCTTTGCGCTTGGCCTCGTTCTGTTCGCGGGCCCTGTCAGACTGTTTCTTCTTCTCTGCTGCGTTCTGCTTGTACAGCTCCTCATTTTGTCCCTTAATCCACCTCAAATGACGTTCTGCATCATGAACGGCAATGTTGTCAACACCAGTACAAGACAACAAAAGATTGTGTCCAGGATTCCGGTTGAGGTAGTCAATGTACTCTTCTTCTGAGTAGATTTCCGTACGGTACATGTAGAACCATGGTTGGTCAATGTACCTGAATGATTTCGGGACATCAAGACGGCTTGCCAAATCCAAGTAAACCAGCCTCATCGCATTGTGCTCCAGCTGAGATTGCTCAGAAACACCCATCTTGACCTGAGCTTTGGTGCGACCCGGCTTTGGCAAATGTGCAGACTTGAGGAGGTCGTACCTTTCACAATCGTACTCGTTCTCCCCCTCGTTCAGCACGCTCTCTGCGAATGTGGCGTCCTGGGCAAACCTGTCAGCCACAGACACATAGCCTAAGCTCAAGGCACGGTCGAAACGACTCTTCGCCCTTGCCAACAAACCGGCTTCCGGACTTGAGCTTCCCCTTGCCTGGTCGTCCAACAAACCCAAAGATTCAAGCTGACCATGTGTGATGCTCTGCAGGTACTCACCACGAAAATCATAGTACAAGCCCAGCTTGTGAAGGGCGGCCTTCCTTCGTTCTGCAATCTTGGTTCGGTCGGCCTTGTTCACCCCTTCGAGCATCAATCCACACACATCGCATTCAATCTGTCCCTTGAAAGTCTGTGCAAAACATCTTGAACATTGCGTGACTTCAATCTTGACCGGCACCGGCTTCTTGTCCTCCTTCTTCACCTCTTTCTTCGAAGGTTGGTCATCGCCTTTAGGGCGAGACTTCTGCTTTGGCACGAGTGACTTTGATGTTGATGCTGGCGTCTTTTTGGGTGACTCTGCAACTGGAGCTTTTGGATCTTTCTGCACTGCCTTTGGTGGTGCAACTTTTGGAACAGGCTCCAAGAAGGCCGCAGCTGATGATGCCGCAGGCACAGCTGCGGGCACGCTTGTCAGGGCTGCCTTCTTCTTTGCAGGTTCATCCTTTGCTGCTGCATCAACTTCTGAGGTCACAGCTTTTGGAACTTCTGGTGCATGAGGTGCAGAAGTCCCTTCCTTCGGTGATGGTTTTGGAGGCGCCTTTGGCGGTGTCTTTGGGCCTTCAACCTTTGCTGCAGGAGGCTTTGGAGCTTCACCCTTCGGAGGAGGGGGCAACAATCTGCTGCTTGCATATCCAGGCATACCGGCAAGTTGGGCCACATTTGGTGGCGGAGGCTTCACCTTCCCTGGGAAAAATGCTGTTGCAGTGGGCGCGCCAGTTGAGGCGGCCGGAGACGTGGAACCAGTCCGTTTTGATGCCTTGGCCTCAAAGGTCTCGACAAGCTGCTGGACTCCAACTTCTCCCCCACTGCTCGCTGCAGACTGTGCAACCTCCTGCTGGCGACGATACAAATTCACCTTCTTGGCAGTGTCATCGACAGAGATAATGTATTGAGGCGGTACGACATCACTTGTCAAAATGCCGTCAGAGGCCGTCCTGAAAAACACAATGCCAGCTTTGACAGCTTCAGCCATTGCTACCCTGATTTCAATGGGTCTTTCAGCACGCAACCCGCTCACATACTCGTTCTCATCGACTCGAACATCGCTAAAATAGGAGTGAGCTCTGCCTGATGAATTTCGTTCTCCTCCTCCAGCCACGAAGCCATTCTCAATGATGCCCTTCCAATTGCCTTTTGTAGTCCTGTGATAAACTACGCCAGGGCACATCTGAG